TGAATGAATGAATGAATGAATGAATGAATGAATGAATGAATGAATGAATGAATGAATGAATGAATGAATGAATGAATGAATGAATGAATGAATGGGTTATGTGTCCCTCAGGGCCATTAATCAGGATAGACCAGATATGAGTTATGTGTGGTAAAGTCTACATGTCTGTAATTTAATATTCAAGTCTAAATCTGAATATCTCCTGACACGTTTTCTTACAAGTCTACAAAAAAAAATAAGAAAATAGTCCAGTCTACTTTTTAAAACTCTTTTGATAAGCAGCTGTAAATTACTTAATTGGTTATTAAATAATGAGTTACGCAGATATGCACTTCTCAATAAGATTCTTGGAAAATCCCAAGCTAAAAAACTATAGTGTTTGGATTTTACTTAATAATGTTGCACAGCGCTGTTTGGCTTCTGTTGCAGGGGCCTTGATGTAATAGATTCACATTGGCATCATTCACAGTGGAAAATAAAAATGCTCTTTCTTGCAAGTTGCAGTCACAAATAAACTGTTCAGATTTGTATTTCATTTATTGTTATAAATATTGTTGCATATTTCCTTGATGTATTTTTATATGAGGTTTTATCACTTGCTCCATCTGTTAGATTTTGAAAAGCAAAGTGAATTCTGTCACAACATACCTGTATTCAAAAAATGTTATGGTACAAATTTGAATTCCTTTAAAGAACAGAATGCAACAGAACAGAGTAGTGTCATTTTTAATAAAAAAAAAATAACCTTGTGCATTTTAATAAAAACATCAATTTTTGTCATTTTCATCTTTACACAAAACATTATAAAGAGTGGAAATTTGCAAACCTTAGATGTGTAAAGATTTTCGTTGCGATATCCTCCAATTAAAAACGTTCAATGTTACTCATTTACAGGACACATGATTTTAAGTTTTAGAGATTGTTTTATGAATCATGGTTCTTGAGTTTTTTATGACTAAACGTTTCACTTTCTTAAAAGATTTTTTCCCTGCAAGCAGGCTTCTCTTTTTTCATCTGAGCACCTCTAAACTCTAAAGTTCATCTAATTAAATATCTAATTATGTGTTATTGATTTGATTGAGAATACAAAGGAGAAGTGAGAGAAAAGTACATTAATCAAAAAACAGATTGCTCAAGTTTGAATGCTGTTTCAGGAAATGGTGCCTTATGCTATTACATTCGCATCTCATCTATTGACCTGCTGCAGTTTCAAGTTTTTCTCTCTTACATGTTAGAGTGAGAGGGGTGAAACTGGAAACTTTTCTTTGACAAGAAAAGAACGAAAGAAAATGGTGGTGCAGTGGTTAGAACTGTCGCCTCTTACAGTTGGTTTATACTTGGAGTCGCACGTATTGTTCCCCTGCTGAGTGACAAAAAATTGTGAAACTTCCGTCTGCTCTCCCACTGCTATCCCCTGGTGACAGCAGTCGTGTGCATTGCCCCCAGTCAGAACTCTGTGATGTGGACCCTGCGGCTCGGAGCGTGTGATTGGTTAGAACTTTTTTGCAAATGCTGCCTTTTTGAAATTTGGTATGCTTGTTTGTCTTTGTGTCTATGGTGTATAATGATGTGATTGTGATGCTGTAATTCTGAGTGTTTATGTGCTGCAGAACAGGAAGCTGCTGTAAAACAGCAATTATGCTGAGTCAGGCTTGATTTTTAATAATCTTTTCCTGTTAAATAAATAAATCAAATCAAATCAACTTTGTGGGTGTSTTTGTTCATGAGCAGCGGTCCTCATGTTGTTCTTTCATAATGATGATCTTTGCTCTGTGCAGGAGTCTATGGCTGCAAGACCTGGGGGCACCTGTTCTCCTATGTTTGGTTTTGTTCCGTCTTCTTGTGAATGGCTGTTCTGAACTGTAATTTCATTGTGCTCTGTACAGTGACAATAAAGTTTCATCTTATCTTATCTTAATTGTATTTTATGGAGGATCTATGATCATTTTTGGCCTGCCGCGTCTTCAACCTGTTCATACCGGCTCAGGAAAATGACGTCCAAAACGACGCAATCACCAACCCACTGTCTCACGTTTTATTGAAGTATAACCCAAGCTTTAGAGAGAAAGTCACAGGATCACCTCTGGGCCTTGAGCCATGTTTTGTGGAGTTTGTTCTCCTATTGCACCCATGTGTTTTCTCCAGGTACTCCGGGTTCCTCCCACAGACCAAAAACATGCATGTTAGACATTGGTAACTCTAAATTGTCCCCAGACGTGTTGGTGAAATTGTGAATGTTTTTTTTTTATTTTCTTATTTTTTGCCATACTTAATAAAACACTGCCTACAAGGAATGTATGATTTGCAAGAATAACTATCCATTTAATGTGAACAGAATCATTTTTTGTACTTTAAGATTTTTAAAGCAACACTGACATGTTTGTGATATACTGTAAGACTAAAAAGGAATATTCCTGCAAATTCTCTCTTGCTGTTTCGAAGGCAAAACTGAGCAAAAAAAAACAATTTCCTACACAGAAGGAGCACTCTGGCCAAACCTAAACAAGGGTCTCAAAGAAGTACAGTGGTCATTTCAAGACAGCTACTGCAACAGAGCACTCTGTCAAAGGTCAACAATTATTTTGTGTTATAACATACGTGGAAATTGTTTCTCAAGAAGGCTATCTTACAATTTCACATCCTACAGCGTCTTGTAAAAGTTTTCGTAACCCTGGGCTTTGGTTGTCTGTTTTGGTGTCTCACAAAATGGGAATAAAATTACTTCAAATGAAGGCATTTTAGCTTTTTGTTAAATAAACTTGAGAGTTCAAATTGGTAAAATGCATATTCATAACAAAATCTGTTGTGAGTGTGCAATAATTTAAATTAAAAATATCTAACGACAGTTAATTAAAGTACAGCTGTCTGCACCCAGGCTTCAACAAAAGTTCAGTTTAGACCGTGGACTCTTTCCACTGTGAAAAGTACGTTGTATTTTTTTTTTTTTTGTAAAATCAGTTATAATAAGCAGGGATCCACTCCAAATTCACTGTTGCATTTGTTATTGTGTGTGAATTTGGATGCCTTCTTTGCGATTTTTTAACTTCTTGCCTGCCATGAAAATGTTGCAGCAAAACATAACAGAATCTCTGTATTTTGTGTGTTTTCATTTTTGAATGTTCACAGCTGTTACTAAACATTAACCTTGTTAGACTGATTATAAGTTGGGTTTTTTTAGAATATTCCCTGCTTTTTATWGATGTTTATATTTTTTGAAATTGTCACTGCTTTGCTAAAAAAAAAATACAACGATTAAAAATAAAAAGGTATCATTTCAAACTCACCGTTTTGGAGGCGGAGGAAATATACTGGATGACCATCTCTCGCTTCGTGTTGAGGTCCTTTTCCCTCAAAGGTGTCTTTTTTTCCTCYTTCAGGTTCATGTCCTCCTGAAAAGAATTTTTAAAAATGTCTTTTATTAAAACAAAACAACACTATCCAACAATGCTCCCTGTAGTCTGTAACCGGACTGATGCTGAAATGTTTTAYTATATGAAAATCTGAATCTTGACTTCTTCCTCTTCCAGTTTTAATATTTTACATGTCACATTCACACTTCCTTGAACTTGAATGTGTAGAATGCACCCTGATGTCTGTTGTGAGGCTTTTGCAGATCGGATATCAGAAGAAACTTTTGTTAAATCAAAATAAGCATTTGCTCGCCAAGAGGACGTCATGAAGCACAGCTCTGTCAGGTCATCCATCGACAGACCATTTAAAAAATGTGAGCAGATCCTGTCTCTCTGAAAAATCACCTTCACTGTAGCTAAAAGTTGCTGTTCCAGACTTATTAAAAAGAGTCTCTTTTTCCTTAAGTTTTCAGAGTTAGAATGATGGAACCCTGGCTATCAGGAAGAGACACCAGGGAACTACAAACCAGTCAAGGAGAACTTGAACCTCAGCCTTCAGAGGCTTATATTTGGGATTTATTGTGCATCCCTATCAGGCTTACTTGTCAGGCTTCACTTACAATAAAGAATGTTGACACTGTGACTAATAAAAATAGAACATACCATCATCTTTTCAAACAGAGCCAAGATTTCCTTTTCTGAAGTGATCTTTGAGGACAGCTCCTCAAAATGATGAAGGGTGGACGCTGAAGAGGTGGACCACTCATTTGTGCTGTGTTTGGACAGAGTTAAGGGTGGCCGCTCCTTTTTACTGCCTGGAATTCTAATGCTGGCAAATCTGTCCTTCTGTAAAGAATTAAAAAATAAAAAGATTAATTAACACAATGAAATGTAAAAAATGATCATGAACAGGAAGCAAACAGTATTAAAATGTGTGAGTTGTGCTGAAAACAAACCAAATAAAACAGCATGCATTTGACAGAAACTCAGTGAACCACTTTCTATATTATGATAAAAGTTGATTTGTTAGTGCGAACAGTTTAAGTCATAATAAAACAATGCTATGTAAAATTAGTAAATTAGTTGTCCTAGTCTAAAATATAACAGTGTTAAACGGCTGAGACCAGTTTCTGATATCTTACCACATCATCTGTGATGTTTCTAAAGGCCAAGTTCTAAAGGTTGGGAGCAGAAAAAAAAATCAAGGTATAAAGTTTTAGTGCCAACTAAGTATGTATATATCCATTCAATAGAAATGAACAGCTTGATGAAGTGTTTTCAAATATGTGCTTCTTAAATTATTGCACAAACCTTTTACAACAATAAACAAAACAGACTGGAGAAAATAAGATTTTTTCTTTAAAGATCGGCACTAAAATTTTACACAAGTAGGCAGGCTTTTTCAGAATTTACCAAAAAGCGAAAGCACMGAGAGTAATCCTGTAATGTGTACACACCTTTTTTGTTGGTTTTTGTAAGACGTGGGTGTAAAGAGGGCTATGTGGAGCTTGTGCGCTTTTATCTTTTTGTCACAAAATGTGGGGAAAATTTTAAAAAAACTGAATGAAGAAAGTGTTAGTTCCTATAAATAATAAGATAAAAGCTTTAATCTTAACACAAGGTCAGTCTCTCTCTTCAGTCTATGGTGCTGTTCCATATAAACACAAGCAAAACATTCTGCTTTAATCTTGTATTATTTTAATAGCTATTATTTCAGCTTATGCGTTTCAACTCTTTGTATTAAATTCATGGTGGAGTTTCCTCTGCTGTTTGCACAACATGTGTGTGTGGTGCGGTGCAGTGGAGCACAAGATGGACCAAATACTCACTGACAACCAATTATTACTTAACAGTAAGAGCTAAATAAACAAGTCTTCATTAGGGGTGTAGATCACCAGCTATATCACGATACGATATTGCATCAATATGTTTGGATGACGATATATATATATATATATATACTGAATGGGCTGAACATATTCATATACAAGCAGCTAAACTAGCAGCACAAAGTAAAATTCAATAAATTATTCGAAAAAATAAAAATCAACTGTCATAACTTACTATAGTTGTGCAATCATAACACTAGCCTATTTTTTAAATATATATATATATATATTATATATATATATAATTTATTCAATATATTAACAACATATGAAATCCTAATATGTTCCTATGCCTAGGTTTAACACTGCAAGTCAATCTAAAATGTTTAGCACACATCTATCAACCTGACTCTGTAACCCCACTTAGATCCACCTCAGAACACTCATCACAGAGAGTGAGCAGGTGTTTCCATCAGGGGGAGGAAATGTAGGACATTTAACCAACAGCTTGTCGGTGGAAGTGGATAATAACGGTCTAGATTGAAAGAAAAAAAAAACTCCCCTGCAAAGGTCTTTACTGGAGACCCAGACTAGAACATCTGAGAACTGACAACAAGGAATTAACTTGCGTTCACACGGTCAAAACACCGGGGTCAAACTGAGGTGAAGAAAATCTGTGTGATGCACAACTTTCCTATCGAAAAAGGGGTGACATGTGTGTGCTGCAGATAAAAGTTTAACCATTTTATAGATGAAGCTCTATACTACGAATCCCAACAATAGTGACAATTTGTCCAGACAACAACTCTCTCCCTGAAGGGATGAAGTCGACAAATAGTGTGCAGACAGAAACTTGATTGGTTTGTAGTAGGAGGAAACACATGGATTAGTGCTAGCTAAACCCTGTTCTAATTTTAACTTTTGGAGGCCCACATGAAAGTCAAGTAAAAAAAAACAAAGCAGTTGGGATCAGACAGAAAATAGTAACTTTTGACCTGAACTATGTGTTTCATAACACTGAGACATATAAGGGCATTTAGCCAGTGATAAGAGAATAGTCTAGATCAGTATCTCTCAAACTATTTAGCCCAAGTACCACCCCAGAAAACACTAAATTACTACAATTATAGATGTAAAAGCTCATTCATAGGACATAAATGAGACAATTGGCCAAACCACTGGGTCTGACCCTGGCTGAAAGGCGTGGTACAAAGGTGTTTTTTTAACAAAAAATATATAAATCTTGGCTTTTTCTCTCATCAAAGCATTCGAGTACAAATTTGAGATCAGCTGAATCAAATTTCCTGTTTTGTGTATTTTGTTGGTTGCAGGTTTTGTAGAAGATTCTGGTGCAGTTTAGATTCACTGAAGTCTATAGCAATCCTGACAGGGTTTTTTTAAATACTTGCACATTTGTTTTGAGTGCTTTCCACTTACAGCCAAGATCATAAATTACATGAACTGCTCATCCTTTTAGCTATCTCTGCTTTTTAGCTTTTTATCCCATTTCAGTTCATGATGGTTAATTACCTTGTTTTTACCTTAAAAACGTTTTATTCCTGAGTACCAATAGAGATATTTTGAGTACCACCAGTGCTACTACCACAGAACTGTTTCTAAATTATGGCTTTGTTTGTTTGTTTGTTTGTTTGTTTGTTTGTTTGTTTGTTTGTTTGTTTGTTTG